TAACCCCAAAATTTGAAAATAAGTTAATTTGTAAGTTGAAAATAATGTGGGGCTTAAAGTTTATAGTGAATTTATATATTTTTATTATAGTTTTTATTATATTTTATCACTCTACGTGACATATTCCCTGACTGTTAAAGGCAACAGGTAACTATCGGGTAATCTCGTGATGTGCTTGGCCTTAAGCGCCTCGTGTAATTTTTCTTTTATATTATCTTCATTTTTCACTATGCAAACCTACTTTCATTTATAATTGAAAAATATCAATCATATCAAAAATTTATATGAATCTAATAAAAACTCTTTTTTCGAAAAAATTGCAAAATGGGCCCTTTTTTATGAAACACCCCATATATTGAGAAATATCATTGATTTATTATAGAATGTGTGAAAAAAATTGTTTGGCGGGAGAGCTGATGCTGATCAGGAAATGCCTTGTTCTGATTTTGTAATTTATTTTTATTCATGAAATCTATATAGAAAAAGTCTAGTCACATCATGATACGGAGAAATCATATTTACTGCATATAGTACCCAGGTTTTATTCAAGGACTTCATTTTAAAGTTGAATAGTACCGGGTACTGTTCATGAATCCGTGATTTCATTGGTGGTGAAGGTGGTAATTTATGTATTAGGATATTATTTTCGTGGGATACTGCCATCTATTCTCTACATGACAACACTATGGATCCAGAAAGTTACATTATCTTGCTAATATGCAAACCACACTTATCCAGGCTTTGAAAGGTAAGAAGTTAAAAACCCACTCAAGGCAGACCAAATATACTGTACCATTATGGTAATTTTTATCTCGTGATTATCGCGTGACTGCCTCATATAACCATGTCCGCGAGGTCACATTCTTAATGGTTTCTGCATAAAGTGATTCTCGAAAATGCACTGGAATAAACCTTATAAGTCATCATAATTACGTATATCTTGGGACTATTCAATTTCTTTGCACAATTCCTTCTTGCTTTTCTGTTTGATAAAATTATTCATTATAGTGTGTTATGGACCTTGAAACTTGGTCGTAAAGCCATATTGATAGTAAGATAGCGGATTTGAATACAATTGATGCAAATTGTGATGTGCTCTTTCTTTTGTTTTCTTTTTTTTTTTGAAAACATCTTCATTATGCATTTTTTTGTATACCTATAAAGCTACAGTATTTGAACTTGAATTTGCATTAAAAATCAGTAATCATTATTTCTTGGCGTCGCGCCTGATGAATTTTGCTTAAAGTCATGCGTGTATACGATGATGCATTTTTTGATTATTATAAAAACGAACATAGTTATTGGTGTTATTGATTGATGATAACCTACGAATATGATCAAGAATAAGATGCATTCAAAACCTTTTAGATATTTAAGAAACTAGAACTTGGCATTCCTAGCCTCATTCGTGAAGGTTTTACAAAATTCTTAAAAAAAAAAAAAAATTCCCCTACATACTATTGAAAAATGACAAAACCCACTTTCAAACATTCAATTTCCATTATCACATATATTCTTTCGGTTATTTCATGTGTTACTGCGTCATCCTTACGAGGGCGTAACTCTTTAGGTGCTCACCCTTTCGTCGTATTTGAAAATGCCAATGAAAATATTGCGAACTCCGAAGCTGCTAATGTTAACATATTAGACATCTCCGCCTTTAACGCTGCAGAAGCCGCTACCGCAGTTGACAAAGAACAACAAACCACCTTCTTGCACGGCAAACGTAATTTCTTAAATTATCGTGGCAGCATACCTTTTCTCGTACTTGAAAACTCTTTGAAGAATATTGCATCCTCTGAAGCCGCTTATATTAACCAATTCGATTTGGAAGCTCTGAACTCCGCAGAAAACGCTGCCAGTGTTAATAATGAAAAACACACCACTTTCTTATTAGGCAAACGTAATCCTTTTATCGTACTTGAAAATGCTGATAAGAAGGTTGCATCCGCCGAAGCTGCTCATGTTAATCAACTTGATGTCCATGCTCTAAATGCCGCAGAAGCTGCCAATAGTAAAAATAAGGAACAGCATGACACCTTCTTATTAGGAAAACGTATGATCTTATATCAAGATCCTGATGGGGATAGTGCGTCCGCCGAAGCTGCTAGTGTTAATCAATTGGATGTCCATGCTCTAAATGCCGCAGAAACTGCCAATAATAAAGATAATGAACAGCATACCACCTTCTTATTGGGAAAACGTAATTTCTTAAATTATGGCCGCGGCATACCTTTTGTCGTATTCGAAAACGCTAATGAGAATACTTAATGTCGAAGCTCTGAACGCTGCAGAAGCTGCCACCAGTGTTGATCAAGAATCCGCAACATCGCTTATATTTATCAAATAACGTAAATAGTTATGAAAAAACTTTTGGGTGGGTAGAGCGAGCAAAAAAAAAAGATTGCATAATATATATATATATCTATATTTTGTATATTTAATCAAAAAATTTTTCTCTTAATCAAGAAATTTTTCTCTTAATCAAAAACGTTTAAATATTAAAAAGTAAAAATCTATATCTTTAGAAATATTTCTATAGTTATTGGAGTTGATTATGTCAACTAACGCGTTTGTCATGAAGTAGTATGTATAAGTAAGAACGTTATATTATTTAGGCTTAGGATCAATGTGACAGACTTAATGATAGCTAAATATTGTTAATGGAATAAAAAAAAACACTTTAAAATTATAATTATACATGTCGCCCAAACTACAAATCTTTAAAATCCCACCCAAACCCCATTGGACTGTCGTAGTACCAAACTCTGGCCAAATCCCAAGTCCCAGATCCCAAATCCCACCCTAGATCGAATCTAAAATCTCAGTCCAAATTTTATTTGTAATACAACTCTCTAAATAAATTAAGTATGCTAGATAAAGTAAATACATTACGTATTATATAAAATAGAAATAGTGCTAGATGTACTTTGTGCAAGATAAAACCTAGTATACAGTATATTTAATATGTAGCAATTAAATTTACTATATTCTATTACGAAAAGCGTTCTAATTTTGCAACTGAAATTATTGGGTGCACGTTCGTAACAGACTACTGTTTTATTATTGGGTGCACATTCGTAAAAGAATACTTTATAAAAATGATAAAGATGGCCGTTATAGATCAAATATATGTAAAAATCAAATATATAATTTTTGTGTAGCTGCGATGATCTATAGTAAAATACTATAAATTTTAACAAAAAATATTAATATTATTAAAAATTCTTACAGTATATTTAATAAAAACACTCTTTTATTTTAAAATATAGGTTCGGTTGAGTGATCGAGCAAAAATTTTTTAAGCTAACTAATATGTAATTTACAGAGGAGATACAATTTGAAATTTGATAATTTTTTATAATCGCTTCATATAAGATTTTTAAATTTCCTAATTACATATTAATTATTTTGAAAATTTTGTTTGATTGCTCAGCAGAACCTATAGTTTAAACTAAAAGAGAGTTTTTCTTTAAAAAAAATAGGGTATTAAATTTTTATTTGATTTATTAAAATAATCGATTTGTCGCCGGTAGTGACGGTACCGGATTTTATTTTATAGTTGTATTTGGGATTATAAATGTCATAGTACGTAGTAAAATTATATAAGGAATGTTTTTTATTAAGAAATTGAAGCTGATTTCATAGACATAATTTTAGGTTATTTTGATTTGAAAAATTTGAGAATTTTGTAACTGCCGGTGACAAAATCGTGATCATTACATTTTAACACCGCTATACATACATATACTGTTTATAACGCAAAGCAATGATTAATTTCTCTGTAACATCTTAAAATTATGGTCGATAAATTTAGTTTTAGAAGAAATCATGAGTATGGATTATGTGCAAATTGCAAGCGATATAACACATTACGCTTGGTGCCAAACATGCGACCCTCAGAAGGTAGTACAAGGATGGACAAGGGAAATAAGGAAGTCGATGATTGTATTAAGGAATTCAACTTAAAGCTAGATCTTATGAAAATGTAATCGAGTGGATTTTTATTAACGGATTAGTTAATATTCAAGAGAATGGAAACAGATTTTTAGCAATCTGGTTAGATGGTGTACTATATACAAAAAATGACAGTGTATCTAATGAATATAAATATACAAAGTCACCAGCATGCATAATTACACTTAAGATATTGACTAGAACGAAAGAAGTGAGATTATATTAATTCATTATGTGTATTTTATTTAATTAATAATATACTTGATTTATAATTATATATATTGTTTATATATTTTATAAGTTCAAAAATCATGTGCAATTAGAAAGTCAATTAGAAGGTAAAAAAAAATGTGTCTATGGATTAACTCAAAACACATTCACGAATGAATATATGTTAGTATTTGATGAATTTAGTTCTAAAAGAAAGGAAAATCATGGAAAATGTGCAAATTGCAAGCGATATAACACATGGAAAGCTTGGTGCCAAATAGGGATAGCAAAATCATGATTTAAATCAAATTTTGTGATTTAAAAATGATTTACAAATGATTTTTATTACGTAATTCAAATTCTGACTTTGAATGCGATTTTTAAATCCACAGAATCTCCGATACAACATAACATAGTGTTCTACAAAGGCTATATCTTTTTGCAAAACGTAATGACAAAAGATTTAAATCTGCTTTAAATTGATTTAAAATAAAAATCAGTGATTTATATCATCGTGATTTAAATCACATGCCATCCCTAGTGCCAAACATGTGACCCACAGAAACAACACAAGGATGGACAAGTGTAAATAAGGAGATCGATGATTGCATTAAGGAATTTCAGCTTGAAACAACAAAATATGAAGATGGTATTTGATGAATTTGATTCTAAAAGATATGATTGGAATGGAAAATGTGCAGATTGCAAGCAATATAACACATCTTACGCAAGGTGTCAAACATGCGACCCTCATAAAACAATACAAGGATGGACAAGGATATCGACAATTGCATTAAGGAATTTCAAATTAAAGCTACGAAATATGAGGATGTAATCGAATGGATTCCTTTTAATAAACTAGTTAATATTCAAATTATTGGTGATAGATTTTTAACAACCTGGTTAGATGGTTTGCAAATTATGAAGGTTATAAAAATAATGAATATAAATATACACAGTCACGTACACGGGCATGCACTATTACACTTAAAATATCAAGTAGAGCACAAAATACACAAAATATTTTAAAAGAAGGGAGTTCTTATTATTTTATTCCATTTAGTTAATAGTGTATATTTATACTTATATTATATTTATACATGTATTTATACATATATTTATACTTACGATTTATGCTTATATTGTTTATTTATTTTATAAGTTTAAAAATAATTAGAAGGTAAAGGTGTCTATGGGCTAACTCAAAACACATTCACAAATGAATATATGTTAGTATTTGATGAATTCTACTCTAAAAGAGATTCTCAATATGGAATATGTGTAAATTGCGAGCGATATAACACATCTTTCGCATGGTGTCAAACATGTGACCCACAGAAGGATATCGATGGTTGCATTAAGGAATTTCAACTTAGAGCTACAAAATACGAAAATGTAATCGAATAGATTCCTTTTAATAGATTAAAGAATATTCAAAATATTGACGATAAAGTTTTAGCAATCTGGTTAGATGGAATATGCTTCACTTCACGTGAATATGGAGAGTATACACAGTCACGTATACCATCATACGACGTGGAGCTTAAAACGTTGACTAGAACACAAATTTAGGAAATATTTTAAAAGAAGACGATTTATTTGTTATCTATAGCTTGTTCAATTATTATCGTATTAATACCGTGTTTGTACAGTACCGGACAGCAAGAAATATCCTCTTTTATATATAAATATAAAAATGCTTATAACTTACAAACAAATAAATTTTAAAAAAATCTGTCTTACAGATTTGTTGCTTTTAGTCTAAGCTACAATTCTGTTAGAATAGATTTTTATTTTTATTATAAATTTAAAAAGTTATTAGAGCCTAAAGTTACTATGTAATCAAAAATTTGGCGTTTAATATATAAAAAAATTGCTTTTATAGATTTTTAACCAATCAGAATCTTGTTACACAAAAAATAGCCAATCAGATTGGAGTATAAATCTCAAAATTTGGCGCTTTTAAAAAAAATAGAATGTTTCTTGCTGTCCGGTACTGTATAACGTTAATTTCATATTAATGTTAAATTTTTATATATTTTATATACAAGTTTCAAAATCACGTGCAATCGGGGAGTAAGAGTTTATGGGTTAACTCATAACACAATTACAAATGAATATATGTTAGTATTTACCGATTTTGATAAATTTAGTTCTAAAAGAATGTATTATTATGGAACATGTGCAAATTGCAAGCGGTATAACACATTTTACGCTTGATGTCAAACATGCGACCCTCAGAAAACACAAAAGTGGACGAGTGGAAATAGGGATATTGATAATTGCATTAAAGAATTTCAACTTAAAGTTACGAATTACGATGGCGTAATGGCATGGATTCCTTTTAATAGATTAAAGAATATTCAAAATATTGGTGATAAAGTTTTAGCAACTTGGTTAGATGGAGGTGGTACACAGTCACGCATAGAATCATATAAAGTGGAACTTAAAATATTAACTAGATCACAAAATTTATCAGATGTGTTACAGGAAGTAAGTTAGAATATTAATTAATGTCGCAACTGATGCTGAAATTCGGATCTATTTTGATATGAAAATTTAAAATTTTTTGGGGGTGTTTTTATCCACTTTTTTTTTAGGGGTAGGTTAGGATTTAGGGTTAGAATTGATAATTAAAGAGTATATGTGAATTTTAGCAGGATTTATATTTTCAAATCGAGACTCCAAATTTCAGCATCAGCTGCGACAATTAATTTATCGTTAAGGTTCGTATTATCTAAACGACTTCACATAATTTGACAATTTATATATGTTGCTAAATTGTGATGTTGGTTAAATGGCTTGTCGTGAAATGACCGACTGCCACCGTTATATACAATATATATGTTTATATTAATGTACTGAATATTTTACTTGCTTAAAAAAGTTTGTAGATTATGTACAGTTAAATAATAATGATCTTAAAGTATTTGGACTAACTTAAAACACATCCACAAATGAATATTTGATTAATTTTATAATAAAAAGAAGCGAATCTAATGGAAAATGTGCAAATTGCAACCGAAATAACACATCACCAGCTTGGTGTCAAACATGTGACCCTCAGAAGACAACGCGAGGATGGACAAGTGGAAATATGAATA